CTGGTCCTCTCAGAGGGTCACCTCTGTGCCCACAGCCCACGTCTCCTGGTCCTCTCAGAGGGTGATCCTCTGTGCCTGCCACCATGTCTTCTGGTGCTGCCTGCAGGCTTACTCCACTCTACCCCTTACTGTCCCTTGATTCTGCCACATGCTCCCCCACTTCATGGTCTGCAGAGCGTTCTCTGTCACCTCCAGGTCTGTCACTGTGTTAGTCAGTGTCCCATCAGGCGCAGTCCGCACTCTGGGAACAGCGTAACACGAGGAGGCCTCATTCAAAGGTGTGGAGTCAGGACCACAGGGTGCTTGGAGGGAGCTAACTTGAATCATTGGTGTCTGTGTTTTTCTGCACAGCTCAAGGCATAAAAACTGTCCATGAGGCATTTCCCAAAGAGGGCTCCATAGGTGTTCTTTGGTTCTCTTTCAAAGTTTGTTCTTTGATAAACTTTGTAGATTTTACCAGAATATGTTTGTATAACAGCTGAGTCCTTCTGCCCCTGGTCCTTAGGTGGCCAGGGACCTGAAACCATGAGGTGCCGTTGTTAAGTAACACTGGGAATGACAGTCCCTTTGCTCATGGGCAGGCAGTGGCTGCTGTGTCATGCTTGCCACCCACCCCCGCATGTATGAAAGAGGGTGTGTCAGCACTGATGACAGAAAGGGTAGGACATCTGAGTGGCTGATGCTAATTAACCTCCTGGGAGTCACAGCTGATTGTGTGACAGGCAGTGGGAAGGGAAAGAATTCCAGACAAGACTGTCCTGATGATTCTCACGGTGACACCCCAGCCATACAAATGCGTCTTTCGTAACTACTCCCGTTTCCCCCTGTATGGCATGACAGCTTTCATTCTCTCCTTTCGGCTTACCCTTACGTGGCATGTGGCTGCTCATTTTTAGTTTTTTAAGTTTTTCCGCCCCTGTGATTGTTAACTTGTTACATGTAAAATATCTGATTTACTAAGAAAACTTCAAATTTCTGAAAACAATTTAAATTGTCCTTTCATCAAGAAAATGTTTGCCAGGCAGTGCCTGTGGCTCAAAGGAGTAGGGTGCCGGCCCCATATACCAGAGGTGGAGAGTTAAAGCCCAGCCCAGCAAAAAAAAAAAAAGAGAAAAGAAAATGTTTGCCAACGTGCCAAACGTTTGCCGATGTTTATGCACATCACCCTCGGCATCACGTGCTTTTAAATCTCTGAGATGATATTTCCCGTCAGTGACCCCTTGCATTCCTCAGGAGGTGTTGATGTGAGAGGATGAGAAGCTGCTCTGCAGAACCGCAGAGATATTGGGAATTACACAGTGTCAGACACTGCCCTTTGGGTATTTCTCTTTGACTTCCTCTTGGTTGTGAATAGAAACTATTTCCTATTGGATTAGTTTTCCCCTGGCTTTGATAGTCAGTTGGAATAGGAACACATTTGAAGGGTTTTATTTAACTTTTCCTTTTTTAATTGATATGTAATAGTTGTGCATATTTCTTAGGTACAGAGTGACATTTCAGTGTATCAATACATTGTATACTGATCAAATCAGGGAAGTTACTGTATTCCTATAACTTAAAATATGTGTCCTTTCTTTATGATAACATTGTAAAATCCTCTCTTCCAACTATCTTTTTATGATTGATACATAATTATATATGTTTATGAGGTACATGTGATGTGCTCTTTGATATATATATAAAGATCAAATCAGGATATTTATGATATTTATCATCTTAAACATTTATCATTTCTTTGCCTTGGGAGTATTACAGATCTCTTCTAGCTGTTTGGGGGTTTTTTTGTTTGTTTTTCCAGTGTCATAAAGAGAAATTTTATTTACAAAGAACAAAGGGTAAGTTTAGAGACACTTCCAAAGAGAGTTGGCAGTGGTCCCTCTCATGGAAGAGAAAAGGTAAGAGAGACCTCTCCTAGCTGTTTTGAAATATATACTATCCTGCTGTTGCTAAGGTAGTATAGAGACCTCTCCTAGCTATTTTGAAATACATGCTATCCTGCTGTTGCTAACTGTAGCCGCCTTACTGTGCCACTGAACAGTCACACTTATTCTGCCACTCTTACTGCATTTTTGTATCCATTAAGCAGCCCCTCTTCATCCCTGCCCCACCCTTCCCAGCCTCAGGGACCTATAATTCTACTCTTTACCTCTGTGAAATGCTCTTTTTTAGCTCCCATAGCTGAGTGAGAATGTGTAATATTTGTCTTTCTGTGCCTGGCTAATTTCACTTAACATCATGACCTCTAGTTGCATCTGTGATACTTCAAATGACAAGATTTTATTATTTTTGTGGCTGAATAATGTTCCATTGTGTGCATATATCACATTTGTTTTATCCGTTCTTCCTTTGATGGACTTCTAGGTTAATCCCTTATCTTGGCTATTGTGAACAGTGCTGCGGTGAACGTGAGGGTGCAGGTGTCTCTTTGGTATACCGAAGTTCATTCCTTTGGATAAATACCCAGTAGGGGACTGCTGACTCAATGATAGTTCCATTTTTATACTTTTGAGAAACCTCCATACTGTTTCATAACGGCTGTACTAAATCAGGTTCCTTCCGATAGTGTGTACGAGTTCCCTTTCTATGCATCCTCACCAATATTTCTTATTTTTTGTCTTTTTGATAATAGCCATTCTAGCTATTCTAACGATGGAGGTTACTGACCATTCTAATTGTGTTTCTGATTTGCATTGCCTTGATGATTACTGATGTTGAGTGTTTTTTCATATGTTTATTAACCATTTGTGTGTCTTCTTCGGGAAATGTATGTTTGGATTCTTTGCTCACTTTTTAATGAGATTATTTGTTTTATTTGCTGTTGACTTTGAGTTCCTTGTAAATTGTAGATATTGGTCCCTTGGAGGATGAATAGTTTGCAAATATTTCATTTTATAAGTTATCTCTTTATTCTATTTATTGTTTCCCTTGCTGTATAGTAGCTTTTTAGTTTAATATAGTCCCATTTGTCTGTTTTTGTTTTTGTTGCTGATTTTTTTGATGTCATGGCCCTAAAATCTTTCCCGAGGGAATGTCCTGAAGCATTTTTCCTAAGTTTTCTTCTAGTAATTTTATCGTTTTATGTCTCCTGTCTATAATCCATTTGACATTAATTTTTAGACATGGTGAGAGGTAGAGGTTTAATTTCATTCTTCTGCATATGGACATCCAGTTTTCCCAGCACTGTTTATTGAAGAGGTGTCCTTTCTCTATGTTCTTGGAGTCTCCGTCGAAGTCACAGGGCTGCCTTTTGGCCTCTTCTAGCAATTTGCCAAAATGATGAACATGAAGGGAAAGAGGAGAGGCTCTCAATGTATGTTCTGTAGACCTCTGAGAGCACATGGAGTTGTTCCTTTGGCCACATACATGTGAATCTACACGAATGGTGATATTAAACGTCAAGGGTACTGTTCAAAAAGGCACGTCCCAAAAATGTTATCTTGGCAAAACTGAAAGAGGGTATAGTATTATCCAGCATGCTGTTGGCATTATTGTAAAACAGAAATAGAGGGTGTAGATAGAGATACTTGACGATCTGGTTCACTGAATTTCTAGGTTTTGATGAAATCCAGGTGGCTGGACAGAAACCAAAATTGCCTGGGAATGAATGGTTTTATTGCTGCCCTCTGCTGAGTCAAAGTTTGAAGTAGGAAAGTAAAATTCACTGCTTCCCCTGACTAATACATTTATTGTTCAATTAAGAACATATTAGCCCTCTTGAGGTCATCCAGGCTCGTTCTTTATGCCCTCAGATTGTCCTAGGGTCCAAGTACCTGATGATTCAGTGAAACTCTTTGGCCTGTAGTTTACAACTCTTTTCTAAGGCAAGGAAGAGCGGAAATTATTTGGAACAATGAAAAACTGTCCCCTGGGAGAATATGCTGACATTTCCTAGGTTAAATTTTAATGAGGGAGGAATGGAGGCGCTCCCCCTCACCCTGAGGAGTTAATTTACATTTAGCTCTTTGAAGACTGTGATATTTATTCCTTCTCTAATCCAAGTTTTTTGTTCATGTTCAACTCTTTGACGTTTCTTTACCGGCCCTTTGCTGGGTTGAATGAATTGGGCGATCAGCTGTCTATTGCCAGCAAGCCCCAGCGGCACACAGAAGTATGCATCTGTCGCTCCCACACCTGGGGTCAGCTGCTCATCTGGGGGTTCACCACCGGATGGCTGACCCAGGCTGGCCTCAGCTGGAGTTACTGAGGGGATGGGCTCTGTGTCACGAGTTGGCCATTTTCCTCCTGGTTCCAGAGGGGCAGCCTAGAAATGTACTTTTCAGGTCGAAGGTAGAAACACAAAAGAGCAAGCAGAAACACACGAGATGTCTTGAGGTCTCGTGTCCTAAGTGGCACGCTATCACTTATGCCTCATGTGTGCACCAGAGAGGCCACATGGGGCAGAAAACAAATACACTGCTCCGATTTGGGGAAGATTCCTATGACAGGAGACATGGCTGCAGGGAGGGAGAAGAATAGGAGCCTTTTATGCCGTCGTCTACCACGATTGTCTCCAAGAAACCCGATAAAGTTAAAATGAAATAAAACTTTCCTTCTTTGTAATTTATCTTTTTCAGGAAGCCGGAATCGATGGCATTCCCTGCAGTCTTCCAGACAACGTGCTTCTTCATGCTGCTGTCCTTGAGGGCTTGCCAGAGTGAAGGTGAGAAGTGGAGAGAACATAAGGAGAAAACATCACGCAGGGCACAAAAGAAGTGATGGGTGCTGTGGAGGGAAAAGTTAAACACTTCTTTTTTTCTTGGGAATTACTTGGAGTTAATGAGGAGATGTGTCAGTTTCTCAAGGCAGTGATTGCCTTAGTCTTGGCTTCCCTTGTCTTGAAGGCTCTGGTCACCACGGGCAATTGTGCACACACCTCACCCTACAGAACTTTATGACCAGTCTATCTCACCAGGACATCGCCAGAGTAGTTCCTTGTGTACCTTACTGGGGAAAGACGTGGGATACAACAGTATTGGCTGCTAGATTAGAACAAGTTTTGATGTCCCTCTATCTACATTCTTTAAGAGTTATTAGCTTATAAAATAGGAATGAAAGCAACAAAAATTTATGAGTTTCTACTCTCTCAAGTGTTTGCTAAGTACCGAAATAATATTTATAAATAAAGAAATAATTTTTGTCACTTAGCCACTCCCCAAACGAGGGTATTTTGAGATAAATCAACTTTGTATTAATAAATAAGGACAATTAGAATGCAACATTTCTAAAATGTTTACAAATATTTTAATTAGTACTTTGAACCTATTTAGAAGTAGGTTCTTAAACTTGAGAGTATCTACTGGTTCATGAATTTTCATGACTTTCATGCAGATTTAATGAAGCTTTACTTTTTTCTCTTCCGGTATTCGTTCTTTGCTGTACATCCTTTGTAACAGAGAGTGGCTGTGTGTGCTGTTACTAAGTGCACACACAGTTCCTGTGCCTGGATTCAAGAACATGGTGTTTGCAAGGAATAGATGTAGAATTTCTCATCTTCTCTTAAAACTCCATGAAAAGATACTTGGATAAACGAGGAGATACTGTCCTGATAAATAGTTCAGTTCTCTGTGTGACATTGTTTAGGTTGGAGTGCATTTATTTTAGGTCCAGGGCACGTGGGAGGATGCTACTTCTTATGGCGTCTTAAAAATCATAGTTTGTTGGTTTCTTCCATAATCTGGAGCTGAAAGGTGGAAATTAGGAGTTCTCATTTGTAGTACGGAATCCTCTCCCACAATCTACGTCAGTTGCTAAAATCTAAGCGCAGTCAACTGGGCTGAGTGGGGCGCCTGCATACTAAGAATGTCCAGGTCCAGTCAGACCCACCCACCGCCCAGCCTGCTCTCTAGGAAATCCCAGGCTGTTAACTCTCAGCCCAGCCTGTCACTCCAGGGAGGCCTCCTTATCCCACCCTGTGCTCTTGCTCTTTACTTTCTCAGCTTCCTTTGTTTTCAGCAGACATTCTTTTCCCAGTTCTCTGCTTCTAGCAAATACCCCTTCTTTGCTAATATCCTTCTCTGCCAAAAATCCCTTCTTTGGTAAATAATCCTGTTTTTGTCCTCCTCTGGACTATTTGGATTTCTTAATTCGATTTCTATTGCTTTTGCCTCTGTATTTATTAAACTCCCACTCAGACCAGTTGGTTTACCACTCAGTCCCCCAGCCAAGTTCATATCTGAGAATCAATTTATTTCAAGTAACCTGGAGTAATTTCTCATGACAGTGAAGCAGAGCCAAGGCTCTTCAGTTAACCCTGGGCACTTATTTCCATCAACCAGAGAGCATATGTTTCTGTAGCATTTTCCGTGTCTGTTGTGTGTATGTACACACAGAAACAGAGATGCAAATACGTGGTGTGTTTTAAAACAAAAGTTAAATTATACTACACGTGCACTTGGAACATTTTGTTACTTAAAACAGTACAACATATGATGAATGCTTTTTCTTTGATATTAAATGTTCTTCAACATCAGGTTTAATTGCCGCATAGGATCCCATCTTATGAGGCGGCTGTGCTTTATTTCCTCAAGTGGTATTAGGGACAGTCAGAGAAACAGAGTTGGGAAAGCGGGAAGAGAGACTCATCCCAAACCTGACCTTCTTGGCCACACTCCAGCAATATGAAAGGAAAGAAGACAGAGAGAGCTAGGAGCCCTGGCTTCTGGTCTGGCTGTGTGACCTTGGCAAAGTCACTTCCCCCCCCCTTTTTTTTTAACCTCAGCTTCCTCATCTGAAAGATAATAGGCTTGGGCTTAGTAATATTTATGGTGCCTTTGATCTCTCTGACTTTACTTTGGTATTTCCCACCACTGCCTAGGAAGTCCTAGATGGCTTTTGACCAGATTATTTCTGACTGATGTCACCTGAGCACCTGAGTCATTCAACCCTCGCTAATAACATTTGTTAATACAGGAGTTCTTTTTTTGCCTAAGCAACATATGGTGGCTTTCTCAACCTTCCAGAAGTAAAGTTTTGACATGTAGTTGACTCATTCATTCGGCAGCCAGTCACTGATGGTCTGTCCGGCGGCGGGCTCATTCTTCGTCTTGCTTTCCCTGGGCTGAGTAAGACTTAGTTTCAACCTCACAGTCCACAGCACGTTTTTCAGCCTTTTTAATCTCATAGCACACTTGCACCTGTAGTTCAGCATACTTCAGTCACAGCATACTTAAATTATGTTGATCCAAAAAAGAGTAAAAAATAAAAGGACTTTTTTTCTTTTGTGCTTTAAACTTCTTTCAAAAATAATTTAATTAATGAGCTTTTAAAAATTTCGAGGCATACCTAAGATCCTCTCATGGCCCAGCAGTGCGCCCTAGCACGCCAGTTGAAAATCACTGGTGGAAAATCACTGATCTCCAGGGAGGCAAACACAGAAGCAGATTTTTTCTGCAAGCTGCAGTCAGTGTTCCAAACAGGGCTTAAAAACACCGGAGGAATTGCATATCCTGAAGTGTCACTGCAGTGGAGTGAACCAGGGACCTTAAAGGAGTACGTCTTTTAAAGTGCAAACTATGATGTGATTCTGAAATGAATACATGCTTCAAACATTTATAAAATACAGAAAAGTGTAAAAAAGAAAATTGAAATCCCTCAACCCCACCACCAGAAATAATGACAGTTAACATTTTAGTTTTATTTCTTTCTTGTTGGCTTTCAAAAAAATAGCATGCACTTTAAAAACCATCAAATGGGGGTCATAGTCCATCATGTTTTTTTAAAAGTGTATACAAAAATTGAAGAAAAGCGTATGTGATTGAAATTTGACAATGAAGTAAAACGAGTTAGTAAGACTGTGGGAACTCAATCAACTTATGTGTTATTCGAACATTTTATCATGATCATATATATTTAAAATTGAGGTGAACTTTATATAACACAAAATAACCATTTTCTGGTTAAAGTGAGCAAATCAGTGACATTCTGTGCAGTCTCAGTCTTGTGCATTGACACCGGTGCCTAGTCTGCCCTTCGGAGCAATTTTTTGGGAATGGCCATGTCAGGTGGCAGATGTATCTGCTTACACCTCTGTGTGCAGGTTGTTGGCAGCGATGCTGCTGATGGTTTAAAGGCAGCCTGAGAGATACAGGCTGCTTTACAAGGGGACCCCCTGCAGCAAATCTCATTTTGAATTCCCGTTCTTTTATAGACTCCATCACACCACAAAGTTCTCTGCACTTACAATCTCTCGTATCGTGTGAGCCTATTCCCTATCTCTCCCACTAGTTCCTTCTTTTGCTAGGAACCTTATCACAATTACTTCATTTTACACAACGTTCCTAGTATGTTGCTGCTCTCCTTCAAAGAGTTCAGCAGATTCTTGCTAGAGGTACTTTAATTTCAGATTAAGATCTGTGATTGCATCTAGAGTCAGAATGTGTCCTTACTTTATATCCTTTTATAATAAACTACAAAATATTGACTTGCAAAATAAAACTTTAATTTTTGATTTTCAGAAATATGAAATTTATAGCAAAAAAAGTCCTTTCTTTTTCAGCCTTGTTAGAAACTTCCAAACCAGTGGGACTGTTTAATAAAGGATTCTCTGTAGTTCTATTTAACTGTTTTTCAGCTTAGGCACTTGTTGTGTATTGCTGAGCAAGTCATTTCATTTGTTTAAGTCTGGATTTAGATATCTGTTAAGTGATTTCTAATTTCCCTTCCAGCTATTCAAGGTGTCTGATTCAAAGATGCCAAGTGAGCGGTATTTTCTATTGATGGTACAGTTGAATTAGCTGTGGCTGTCAACCACACTCCTGTTAAATGTTGTTTCTTTCCTTGTTTTGGTCTTTTTCAGTCTTGACCGAACATTTACCGTTGACGCCTGAAGCACTTAAAGTTTTTGTCAATTCTACACAGCAGAGTTTGCATTTACAATGGACCGTCCACAACCTTCCTTATAAGGGGGAACTAAAAATGGTATTTCAGATACAGATCAGTAGAACTGAAACATCCAATATCATCTGGAAGGTAAGAATTTTTGTTTGGGGCTCAATATTTTTAAAATGCTTTTCTGACACCATAATTTGTCTTTTGTAACATCTAAAAAAAATCTCATTATGGGAACATAGTAGCAGCTCAAAACAGTTTTCCCCAATAGTTGCATTTCGGTGTCTGTAGTTAAGGGGCCCCAGGATGAAGAAACATGACCACTTTGGTTTGGTGGGCAGGATATGATGTGCTGGGAAAAGGAGATTGTTTTCTCAGTTCTGCCGTGTCCCTAAAGAGGGCTGGAGAATACTGGATTCCGTGGAGTCAGCCATCTCCTTCTTCTTCTTTCTTCTCCATTCACAGGGATTTTCCTAAATGGGATGTCGTAATTTGGCAGCATTTCTCTTGCCAGTGTGGCTTCCTTTCTATTTCTTTGCTTACAGCGTGTGGAAGTGCAAGCCGGAGTGTATCCCAGCACTTTATGTTCCAGCCAGCAGTGGGCCGTGGGGGAGAGTAACTTACTAGGTCATCTGTTGCCACACATGTCGCTTTTTCTACAGCAAGTCAAATTAAGAAAATCCCTCATTTCATGTTCTTTTTGTCTTTGAATCATTTTGGGGAGACCTTTCATTTATCTTGGTTCAGATAATGGTAGTACCTGTTTCCCCGATGCCTGCCCAGTCCAGTGCATTGGTACACATTGGTGACATCTTTTGATTGCTATTGCCGATCTGAAGAAACTTAATAATCCAGAGCCAGACGCGGTGGCTCACACCTATAATCCTCTGGGAGGCTGAGACAGGTGGATTGCTTGAGGTCAGGAGTTTAACACCAGCCTGAGCAAGAGCAAGACCCTGTCTTAAAAACTTAGTCAGGCATGTGGCAGGCACCTATAGTCCGAGCTACTTGGGAGGCTAAGGCAGGAAGATCACTCAAGCCCAGGAGTTGGAGGTTGCTGTGAGGTGTGACACCCTAGCACTCTACCAAGGGTCACAAAGTGAGACTCTGTCTAAAAAAGGAAAAAATAATAATCCGCACATAATGTTCAGTCAATTATCACAGAGTGTTTAGAGGTGGTGGAGAGTTTTCTCATTGAAAGGACCTGAGAATGTGCTTGGAGGGAAGGGAAGCTCAGGGCCACGTTGGGACCTCCACTGGCTCATTTGAGGTCCCCTCTTCTCCCAGGCAGTGGAGGCAGTGGGTACAAGATCCAGAATGGGTGGTTCCTTTAGCAAAGCCTAAAGTTCACTCATACAAAGTGTCCAGTTACTTTCTACAGTCATTATTGCATTTGAGATCTGAGCAAGTGGCCTGAGTCAAATACAGTTTTGACTCTGTCCATTTAGGATCCGTATGGGCCTACATCCATTTAGGATCCGTATGGGTCTATATCCATTTAGGATCCATATGGGTCTATATCCATTTAGGATCCGTATGGGTCTATATCCATTTAGGATCCGTATGGGTCTATAATTCTAGCCCTCCAAGGGCAGTTTCCACTGTGAGAGCTGCTTAGTGTGCTGGTGACAGTAATGGTGCTTCCGGGTGGCTGTTCACTTCCCACCATCAGCATATCTTCCCCCCATCCCACCTCATGCTAGTAAATCTGATATTTTAAAATGGATATCATGGTTAATGTTTGGACCCAGTAAAACATTGCACAAAGATCATATTGTCCAAGAAAAAGAATTTGAAGGGGCATGCTGGAGCAGTTGTGGAAAACTGGCAGGTAGTACCATTAGCAAAAATAACATCAACCATAGACCAAGTAGGTGCCATAGTTTATTTTTCTAAAACACAGTTCCTGTCTTTTTTCATATTTGATTAATGTATTAGTCCTCTCTTCAAGGTCAAGCAGCATGTGTAGCCTCCTTCTGTAACTTACCAGGGCCTGAGACCCTTACCTTGTCTATTGTGTGGTTCTCTCAATACCCCGTCCAGCCTGACTACCACGAAGGAGAAACCCAAGGTATAAAGAGGTTATATTGTGTTGCTCCAGGTGACAGGCAGGGCGGTGTCATCCTTTACCCTATTCCTAGACCAGGATGATAGTCACATGCAGTGCCCCTGGCCATGTTTGCAATGCAACAAAGGGTAGGGGTTTGGTAGAGGAATTTAGGTTGCTATTTTCAGTGATTTAGAACATGTGATGCCATGAGAAGCCCATATCTGAATCTCTCATGCCTGAAATTGAGGACATATGTAAGATCTTCTTCCAGTGAAGGAGGAGGATGTCACTGTGTCTGGACCAAAATCTCCCTGTCATGGGGCATCTCCCTATAACACACGCCCTGCAGGGCACCCTCACTTGTGCTGACTCAGTGTCCCTCAGATCACCATGTTCCCAAACAAGCCAGAGGAAAAGCATCTTGAGCCAGGTGCTTGCAGGTGGTCCAGGGGCACCGAGCTGTTTCCTGAATGGGGCTGGCCATTCAAAGATTTCTCTTGGCAGCTGCGCCTCATGGCCCTGCTCTGGGCCCAGGCTCTGCCTTTCCCTCAGCCATTTGCTTTATGATTTTATCCATGGCAGAGGAATCAGAGCAGCATACTACCATAGCTCAAGCTCGGGAGGAACCTGGGAGTGTGCGTCAGTCTAGGGAGCGGGTTTGTCCCTCAGTAGCACATCAGTGACCTCCATTCGGCCTTTGTGTACATGGATGTTTTGTCTATTTCTTATACCTTACTAATAACTGCAAGGGAGAAATTATACTTGCTGCTTTGATAAATGAAAATGGCCCAAAGATGTCCATCACATTTAAAAATATTGCTCAATTGATGTATTCAAGGAAAGTGTTATCTCCTTCACTAACAAGGCTGTAAAGACTACAGACCATACATTGAGGCTCAACAGAATCCATACAAATAGTGTCTGGGGGAAATCCAACTCCTGGCAGATTAAGGAAGTGATTAAATCATTTAGCAGAGAGGTTTGGCCCAGTGGGCCCAGGTCAGGCCTTGTGCAACACCCGGCGCTATCAGTGGTGAGCACACTGGCAGCAAGAAGGAAATGAACTCACCATAGGGCATCCTAAGTACAGCATGTGGGGGGCATCCTGGGCTTGGGGATAGGCTTAGTCTTCTCCCACAGTTCGCACTAAGGACTGTTTGTGCAGAAATGTCAGTGAGGATTGGAAGTTAATTTAGTAAGAAGAGAGGAGGAGAGTGCTGTGGGAAGACCCCCGAGAGAGAGGGGCTGGGGGGCTTCCAGGCCTGAAGGCACCCTGCTGTGCTGGAGCCCTGAGCATGCAGGGGCTGGGGGAAGCAGGCCAGGCTGTGCAGGACCACAGGGAGCAGTGAGGACAAGAGAGCACTAGGAACGAGGCAAGTGGCAGGTTCTGGTTTGAAGTTTTTTATAAGCCTACTCAGCTGCACAGTGGCAAAGCAATGGGGGAACCGGGAGAAGGTGAAATGTGACCAATAGGAAATGGGAGAGACACAGAAACCCAGGGAGGACATGAGAGTCATCCATTGACTTCTGGGAGACAGTGAAGCTCCTGGGGTGCCGTGAGGGACTACTTTCTCTACTGGGATTTGGCCAACCTGATGCAATCCTGGCTGAAAATGGGTATTAAAAATTAGCCATCAGTCTTCGTTTTGGTTGTTAAAGGGTGACTCAATTAATTCTCTAGTTTTTAAGAATTTTCTTAGCAGGTTCTTTGTGACCAGTATTGAGAATAGTTTTTGACTCCAATATATTCCTCAAAGACTTGAGTCTTTTCTCCCCCACTCGCTGCACACGAGCCTCCTGGGTGAGGGAGCTGAGGTTTCAGAGGGCAGAAGGTCCACAGGAGCCATTGACTTTCCTCGTGCATCTACATCCTTGTGGACCTACAACAGGGTCTTAGATTTGTACTTTGGGACAAGGCAAGTCGGGCTGTTTTCCAGGGGAGGATGGCTGTATGTTTCTAATTTTTTCCTTTCCTTTTAGGGGAATTATAGCACCACTGTGAAGTGGAACGAAATTCTGCATTGGAGCTGGGAATCCGAGCTCCCTTTGGAATGTGCAACGCACTTTGTAAGAATAAAGAGTGTGGTGGACGATGCCAAGGTCCCTCAGCCAAATATCTGGAGCAGCTGGAGTTCATGGCAGGAGGCCAAAGGTAAGAAGTGAGATGGTCATGAGAGTGAAAAGATTTAATATTTTATATTACTGGAGATCAGTAGTCCAAGAGTGGAAATCCCCTTTGAAGAACTATAGGAGGATAATAACAATTTTCCTTTGGTTTCTACTGGAACTAAAAAACACGGGTTAGAAACTTGCCACTGGGAGAGAGGTGTCTGAAGTTCTGCTTCTGAACTTACTCACTGAGGCCAATTGAGCAAACTCTGTATTTGTTTTCTAAATGTATGCAGTGTTTGTATTAATAGAATGCTGAGGGTCAAAACAGCACATACAGTACACACATGTTTTTATTACAACAGCACAAAATGTGTATGCACCTATGGTGGTGATTGGGAAACTTCTGCGAAGGGCCAAATAGGACCTGTCTTAGGCTTCTCAGACTACATGATCTGTTAGGATTATTCATTTCTTTCATTGGGTGAAAGCAGCCCCAGGTAATGTGTAATAGGACGAGAGGGCTGTGTTCACAAAAACAGATTGTGGGCTGGAACTGGATCAGCCCTTATCTAGGGAGAAGGGAGGAAATTTGGATAAATTAAAGCTGTGCTTCATTTGAGTGATGAGATGTTAATAACCATGTTTTAAGTATCCCTTATCATTTTGTTGTAATTAAAAGTTAGAGTGGGTTTTGTCAGGGTTTCTTATGTTCCTGTTAATCTAACAATGAAAAAAATAATAGAATGAAATTTACGTTCTAGTCGCCGTTTTGAGTATAACCCGTATTAGTTTAGTCTTTATGTCAGCCCTGTGAAATATGTAGCACTGTTACTCTTACTTCATAGATGAAGAAATGGGGGCACCAAGAGATGCAAGGACGCATGTGAGGTCATCAGGCTATTCGGTGGTAGAGCTGGAATTCCAGCCAGGGCAGCCTGGCTCCAGAGGCCATGTGCTTAACTATTATACCCCACCACCAAAAGAGGGACACAGGTCATGGACAAGATTGGTTCTGTAGGGTCTGTTTTTAAGTTGAACTCGCATGTAAGTTGTAACAGGCACATTTACCTATTACCTGTAATAGCCCTGATTGTAAATGTGACCTGTACATCAGTTGGATGCTTGCAACTCAGAAACTACCTATACAGGAAAAAAAAGGAGCCATAAAAAAGACAGTAAGAGAAAGAAAAGAACCACATTATAAACAGGTTTCATAAAGTGGACTATGTTTCCCCAAACTGTAACCTCAAAAGTAACTTAAGAATAAAGGGAAAACCTGATTATTACCAACTCCCAAAGCACGGATTCTCAACCATGGTTGCAAAGTAGAATCATCTGATGGCCTTAAAAACAAATCCGGTGTCCCATATGCAGGGCACCCAGTTGCGCAGTGGCCAGCAGCTAGACTGCAGGCGGCTGGGGTGTGAGTGGGGGTATTGAATTTTAGCAGTGAGCACCGTCAGCTCCTTTTGGAGCCCAGGCCAGAGAGGGTGCCAGGAGGGAGCCACGGGACGTCGGTGAGTTTCCATAGGAAGGGAGAGCCCTGAGGATTTTAATAAGCCCATGGGCCCTGCAAGAGGACAGTCTGGAGCGAAAGGAGATGATATCTGAGTGACTGACATTTCTGAGAAGGTGGGAAGAGATGTGATCTCCAGTACAATCCAAAGGGATGTGTGGATTTGAAGCTGGGTGGACCCGGCTGGTCTAAACATGGCTTTGCCACTTACTAGCTGAGTGAACTTCTGCTCAGTCCTACCTGCTCTGTTGTAAGGCAGTAAGGATGACATGAGGTAATGTACGTAGGCACTTAACGCAGGGCCTCCCATGCAGCTGGGCTCCTTAGAGACTAGCTACTGCTGCTGCAGTAATGATACCACAGTAATCAGCAGTGCCAGTGATAGCGGTGTTGTCTTTGGCAGGGGCAGTAAGGGCCGCAGCAGTGGGATTAGCAGAACAACAGGAGCGATAGTAGAAAGGACTGTTTTGCACGCACCAAAGGTCAGGGGTTTGATGGAGAAATTTAGATTGCTGTTTGTTCTCTGGAAGGTAGAAAAAGCTAAAGTTGTCCACTGAGGGTGAGGTGGGTGCTCTGGCTCAAATTTTGAGTTAGAGTCTAATTCAGCTGTCTTTTTTTTTTTTTTTGTCTTGCAGTACAAGATTCTTTTGAACAGGATACATTGTTCATTTTCCCTAAAGATAAGCTGGTAGAAGAAGGCTCTGATGTCACCATTTGTTACATTTCGGGGAACATTCAAAATAACATATCCTGTTATTTGGATGGTGAACAGATTCATGGAGAACAACTTGATCCACATGTATCCACATTCAAGTTGAAAAATGTTCCTTTTGTTAGGGAAAGAGGGACAAATATCTATTGTGTGGATCACCGAAGAAATACCATCAATGGTGGCACTGTTCTGTTTGTCTCAAGTAAGTATGCAAATTCTGTGTGGCCCTCTCTTCCCAATTCCTATAGAATAGATTGAATCTCCTTTACTGCAAGATAAACATTGCCACACATGGTCTTGGTTTTCTTTTGTTTCCCAAGACTTCCAGGAGAGGCTCTGGAATGATATCCAGAAGCAATACTTGCAGGATTTCCTGCTGTTTTCCCGGCCTTACTGACAAGGATATTCCTAGACACCAGAGAGAGAGTTCAGGTCACGACCTGGGCTGCGGGGAAAATATCCTGCTTTGCCTCAGCCACTCTGGCATTGCCACAGGCTCACAGAGGGAGGGAGAGGCAGCAGGTTGGGCCACCACGGAAAGACAGGGAGGTTGTGATCTGGAAGCTCTGGGTGCAAACTTTCTTTCCCTGGCTGGGAGTGTCATCTTGACCAAATTTCTCAGCTTCTCTAAACCATTCCTCCTCTGTGAAATGGGGAGGATGATGGCGATTATGAGGATTAACGAACGAGGGCTGTCCCCGGCCTGCAATAGTTGGATGGAGTAGGAGATCAGGAACCAGAGGCTGCTACTGTGTTTAATCGTGTGGCTCCAGTGGAGACCTCGTTAGAGTGGGAACGTTTTCATCTTGATGCCAGTCTGTGTGCTCACACAGGGACTTGCTGTGTTTTGTCTTGAGGTTACCCTCCTCGCACAGTAGGGCCATTCCTATGACTTCTCCCTCCCCACTTCCCCTGCCAGAGAGCTTTCCAATCTCCTGGATGCTTGGTTCTCCTGTGCCCCTGAGTGTGGTCACCAAGGATAGCAGTGACTCCAGAGACTTAACGGGTGCCATTCCTTGGGATACTCAGGTCTGGGCTGCTGAGTTTAGCAGCTCACAGAGTCTGGCTCTCTCACATCCCCTGGGCTTTCTGTCAGCCTTGGCCCTGGGCCCACACTGGGGTTACAGCTTTGCCAAATGCAGACAGTGTCAGCCACATGAACATCCCTGGCCACTCATCCCTGTGGTGTCCCAGGAACTCATGACAAGAAGAAGGGGTGGAAGAAGAAGCACCTGAGAAGTGGCTTTGGGAGCTTTGGGGGGCTCTCAGCTCAGTGAGATCTTCATCATTCAGAGAAACTCAGTACTTCAGAGCCCAACTTCTGTGTGATTGATTTGTCTTTCAGTAGAGATTTTAGCTGGGTCTTTAGTCTGTGTTTGTTTTTGTATGGACAGAAGTACTCGAGGAACCCAAGAACTTCTCTTGTGAAACTCAGGACTTGAAGACTTTGAGCTGTACTTGGGATCCTGGGGTGGACACTACCTTGGCTTGGTCTAAACAACGTTCCCAAAGCTACTACACTTTATTTGAATCGTAAGTTAGTTTGGGGTTGCATTACTGACGGATTCTTCCTTATTTAAGAGTACTTGTGACAGCATCACAAAAGCTACACTTTGTGTTGCAGGAAATTTGAACATATATTTTGAAACCACTTGCCAAGGTCAAGAAGAAGTGGTCACAATGTGTAATATTTTCTACCTGAGGGTACTGTCAAAGGAATATTTAGCATAAGAATAAGATAGTTAATGGTGTATCTAGATATGAAAATTGCCCCATCTGACAATCTAGGTCTACCTAATCTCTCACTTTTTAAGAATATTCCAAGTAAATTAGGAGGTGTTCTCCCCACCCATGAGGAGTCGTCAGTGACTGATTACACATTTAATCCCATGTATCAAATCTGTTGAAACAGTATTTCCCTTATTGCTTACTTGCTGGTGATGGATCAATGCAAATAGGTGGACCATAGTGTGAAAGTCACCAAGGGATAAGGGATGCATCTGCTTTGATGAGAATGTAAACCCTGTAATTATATTGTTTTGTTGTTTAAGGTTTTCTGGGAAAAAGAAACTTTGTAAAGAGAAAAACTGGTGCAACTGGCCAATATCGCAAGACTCTCAAGCAATGTATAACTTCACACTCACAGCTGAAAATTACTTGAGGAAGAGAAGTGTCAATCTGCTTTTTAACCTGACTGATCGAGGTGAGCATAGAGGTGTCACTCCCCACTGTGGCCACTGATGCGTCTTTGACACACTATACAGTAGATCTTACTCATTTCCTTAAGTGTGAGTTAGAACTTACACATACTGTTCATGCCACACTGCCCATGGGTACGTGAATCTGCTATTGTTTGCCTTGATAGTATCATGAGCACCAACAACCTTACTACCCAACTTCAAAACTAGGCCTCTGATGATAACTTATTTCAAGTCTCATCTCACCTTGCTCCCCGCTTGCTCCTCAGATGATTATCTCTTTAAATTGTGTGTGTATTCTTATTTCTTGTAGAACTCGAAAAACAAATTTTTATTTTCTTTACTTTTAATGAATGTAAAGGGCATCAAGCTTTATGTAATAATTTTTGTATAATATTAAACTGCTAAGATTTGCACACAGTTGAGTGTTACTATAGTTCTTTTGTTTTTACTACTGTATAGAATTTCATTGTGTAAACAGTCAATGTTTTATTCATACAACTCTTTTGATGGATTTGCAGGTTATATCAAGGCTTTTGCTTCTGGATGAAAAGCATTTTTATACATGTGTTTGGCATATATTTTTATGCAGAAGGTATGAAAAATATATAAATACATTCTAAGACAGGAAAAAATTCTATTAAAATTATAATACTCAATACATACGGATAACAAAAGAAGAGTACAAGTCATGTTTAAGCACCTCTTATAATTGCAGAAGTCAAATTTGACTTGAGTATTACAATTTTAATATAATTTGTTCCTTTCTTAAAATGTGTATACATTTTTTGTCCCCCCCATACATGTGTGCAGTGCACAGCTATGATTGTTTTTCTTGTACCTAAGAGTAGAATTGGTAGAGACATAGAATATGTCAATGTTCAGCTTATGAAATAAGGTCCAATTATTTTCCAAAGTGATTGTGCCAGTTATACTCCCACCCTGTGGATTCATATATTCTCTCCAAATTGGTATCAGCACACTCTTCATTTTGGCCAATTAAATGTCTTTGAAATGGAATTCCATGATGGTCTTAATCTGTACATCCCTGAGGTTGAATCTCTTCTTAGATCTTGCCCACACCGTTTTCTTTTATGAAAAGCTTGCTCATGTTGTGGATTTCTTATGCTTTTTATTTTGGTAGAAGTTATTTATATATTCCCAATACTTTTTTGTTATTTATTTCTATCTATATTACTAATGTCTTCTCACAGTTTGTAACACACTTTGTTTTATATATTTTACCAATTTTAATATAGACAATTATACCAAAATCTTTTAAAGAAAGAATTCCCTACCCCAAGATAAGAAGGATAGTCTCCTATAATTTTCTTTCCTTCTATTGAAACAAATGACAAATTTTATTACATGAGTTAATTTTTATGTCTAAGTACAAGGATAATGGAATATATTTTCCGTGCAAAATATTATATACATTCAATAACATACAGTGGTAACAATGCAGTGTAGGTTTCCTGGGAAGCAGACTCTGTGATAGAAATATACAAGCAGGAGGTGTATTTATTGGGCAGTGCTGTCTATATGAGGACCGGCGAGAGAGGGAGAGTGAAGCGGGATAGACAGAGCAAGAAGTTGAACTCTATTGAAGTCCCGATAAATATCTCAGTTGATCCCTTGAGGAACCTCTGAAGTTGGGAAAGCCCCACAAAGATGTCTGAATTGAGGCAACGGCCAGTCTTTGGATATCTACCACCCCACAAACATGAATCTTGAATGAGAGGACTCTCTTTAGCCAGGGGCAATTTCCAGAGAAGAACTCAGCAGATAGTAGCCAACTACCAATAGTCCGGGTAGATGAGGGACAGAGTGCTTCAGTTGCAAAAGGGTTGGGGGATTTGTGAGAATCTGGGAAGCACATCATAACATCAGCTAGGATGATCAAAAAGAACAATACATATTTCATAATTTACGAAGTTTGGCCTCAATCCCAGATACAATTAAATTTGAAATTATGAAAAGGTAAAATTCTAGCAAGAAAACAAAGAAACCACATAAAATGCCAGCTACTGGAATTATGGAAACTTCTGATAGTAAGAGAGAACCCCCCCCCAAAAAAAGACCTCTAAATAGTGAGGAGAATTATTTCTGGGAATACTCATTTTTTTCCAAAGTCTCAAAAAATAGACAACTAATATTTGTAAATGAAAATAGAAGATAATTTCAAAAAACAGATCATGCCAAATCATATAGACAATAGAAAAAGAAGAAATCCTTCAAATTCATTCTACTTCATCTGGATATACCTGATATCAAAATTGGAAAAATATATTATTGTAAAGGGAAATTACAGACATATTTCACTTATAATGTAGATGCAGTATCCTAAACAACATATTAACAAGTTGAATTAGAAGTTATTGTTCAAATAATGTACTTGGTCAAAATTAAATCCAACCTATGTGAGAGTTAGTCACTATTTTTTTTTAATTTTCCTTTCCCCCACCCCTCCCTCTTTCTCTCTCTCTCTACTCTCCCCTTCCCTTACTTCTCACTGTCATTAATTGTCATTAACTGTCCTCATATCAAAGTTAAATACATGGGATTCATGCTTCTCCATTCCTGTGATGCTTCACTAAGAATAATATGTTCCACTTCCATCCAGGTTAATACAAATACTGCAAAATCTCCACTTGTTTAATGGCTGAATAGTATTCCATGGTATACATATACCACAGCTTGCCAATCCATTCCTGGGTTGAGGGACATTTAGGCTGTTTCCACATTTTGGCCATTGTAAACTGAGGTGTGATAAACAGTCTAGTAGGTACAAGTGTCTTTATAATATATATTTTTTCCTTTTAGATAGATGCTCAGTAATGGGATTGCAGGATCAAACAGGAGGTCTAGGTTGAGTTCTTTGAGGTTTCTCCATACTTCCTTCCAAAAAAGGTTGTATTAGTTTGCAGTCCCGCCAGCAGTGTAAAGGTGTTCTGTTCTCTCCACATCTACGCCAGCATCTGCAGTTTTGAAGTTTTGTGATAAGGGCCATTCTCGCTGAGGTTAGATCATATCTCAGGGTGGTTTTAATTTGCATTTCTCTAATAATTAGGGACAGTGAGCATTTCTTCATGTTTGCTAGCCATTCATCTGTCTTCTTTAGAGAAGGTTCTGTTCATCTGTCCCCATCAATGTATGGCATTGTTGCCTTTTTTCATGTGGATTAATTTGAGTTCTCTATAGATCCTAGTTATTAAGCTTTTGTCTGATTCAAAATATGCAAATATCCTTTCCCATTGTGTAGGTTGTCTATTTGCTTTGATTGTTGTCTCCTTAGCTGTACAGAAGCTTTTCAGGTTAATTAAGTTCCATTTGTTTATTTTTGTTGTTGTTGCTATTGTCATGGCAGTCGTCTTCATAATGTCTTCCCCCAGGCCGATATCTTCCAGTGTTTTTCCTATGTTTTCTTTGAGGATTTTTATCATTCCATGCCTTAAATTTAAGTCCTTTATCCATCTTGAATCAATTTTTGTGAGTGGAGAAAGGTGCGGGTCCAGTTTCAGTCTTTTAGTGGATATGCAGTTCTCCCAGCACCACTCAGGTGTCCTCAAACTATGGTGGCCACACGCAGCCCTCCTAGGACATTTAGCTGGCCTGCTGGGTGTTTTTGCCACTGCCTGTCCTGCTTAGCAGCCGACTCGTTCCGGGGCCCGCAGTCCGGCCCTCAGTCCAGTCTGAGGGACAGTGAACTGGCCTCCTGTTTAAAAAGTTTGAGGACCCCTGGATAGGGAGTCTTTCCTCCAGTTCTTGTTTGGTTTATCAAAGATTAGGAGGTTGTAAGTTGTTGGTTTCATTTCTCAGTTTTCTATTTGATTCCAAATGTCTATGTCTCTATTTTTGTGCCAGTACCATGCTATCTTGACCACTGTGGCCTTGTAGTACAGCCTAAAATCTGATGTGGTGATGCTCCTGGCTTTGTTTTTATTACTAAGAACTGCCTTAGCTATGCGGGGTTTTTTCTGGTTCCATACAAAATATAGAATCATTTTTTCCAAGTCTTGAAAACAGGATGTTGGTATTTTAATAGGGATGGTGTTGAATTGGTAGATTGCTTTGGGAAGTATAGACGTTTTAACAATGTTGATTCTTCCCAGCCAAGAGCATGGTATGTTCTTCCATTGTTAAAGTCCTCTACTATTTCCTTTCTTAGGGTTTCATAATTTTCTTTATAGAGGTCCTTTGCCTCTTTTGTTAGGTATATTCCTAGGTATTTCATTTTCTTTGGGGCCATGGTGAAGGGAGTTGTGTCCTTAATTAGCCTCTCATCTTGGCTGTTATTAACGTATACAAAGGCTACCAACTTGTGGATATTGAATTTATATCCTGAGATATTACTATATTTTTTGATGATTTCCAGGAGTCTTGTGGTTGAGTCTTTGGGGTTCTCTAAGTATAAGATCATATCATCAGCAAAGAGGGAGAGTTTGACCTCCTCTGCTCCCATTTGGATGCCCTTCATTTTCCTGTCTTCCCTAATTGTACTGGCTAGAACTTCCAACACCATGTTGAATAGTAATGGTGACAGAGGACAACCTTGTCTGGTTCCAGTTCTAAGTGGAAAAGCTTTCAGTTTTACTCCACTCAGTAAAATATTAGCTGTGGGTTTGTCATAGATAGCTTCAATTGGTTTAAGAAATGTGCCACCTATACCTAAACTCTTCAGTGTTCTAATTAGAAAAGGATGCTAGATTTTATCAAATGCTTTTTCTGCATCTATTGAGAGGATCACATGGGCTTTGTTTTTGCTTCTGTTGATACTGTGAATAATGTTTATGGATTTGCATATATTAAACCAGCCTTGCATCCCTGGAATGAAGCCTATTTGATCATGATGTATGACTTTTTTGATGATAAGCTGTAATGTATTGGCTAGGATTTTGTTGAGAATTTTTGCATCTGTATTCATTAGTGAAATTGTTCTGAAATTCTCCTTTTTAGTTGGGTCTTTTCCTGGTTTTGCTATCAGGGTGATGTTTGCTTCATAGAA